AATTTGTGTGCAGTTCTATGAAAGATGGTTAATTCTTTTGTGGAGGCACACCTGGCAGTATTCAGAGCTTACTCCTGGTTCCGTGCTCAGAGGTCACTCCTGGTGGGGCTCTGGGGACCATACAGGGTGCCGGGGATCGAACTGTGGTCAGCTGTGTGCAAGACAAGTGCACTATTTCTTCAACCCTGGTTAATTATTTTTTTTAATGGAACAAGTTTTTGTGGTGTAGAATAGTGTTAATAATGGTTTCCCTTGCACCTAATTCCAAGAAGCACACCCATCCCAACTGTACCGATCTCCTTCCCCCAAAGATCCCAAAGCACTTCCTTTTCCACGCCTCCTTCCTCTAACTCAGTTGCCTTTGTCCCCTACTTTGCTGTGTATCTCTTAAGTCCTACATGAGAGAAGTTCTCTCTCTACCCGAAAGATGATGAAGGTGACAGGCTTTGTTTCACTTAGAGTCACTGTTGTTTGTCCAGGAGCGACTCAGGCAAGGCTGAGAATGGAGTACCACATGGCAAGGCCAGGCCGAGGCTCCTGAGAACGGGTGTGGGGTGTGGCCCCTGCCGCTGTCCCCAAGGGCTGGGGTTGGGTTCTCCAGGCCTGCCATGGGCTTTGACCACTACACTTTCTTCACCCGTGTCCCTGGACTGTCCCCGAATATTGGCACAGCCAGAAGAAAAAGAATAGGGAATTTCCAGCTTAAACCCATCAGTGTTCATGGAAAAAGCATTCTCTAGGCTCATCCCGGGTATTTTATTCTCTCCTTACAGTTGATTATTTGTTCTGTGTATTTTGACCTCTGATTTTGGTGTTGCACTTGCAGTTAAACAGTATCTGCTTCCACCTCCGCCTTTCTAATTTATTGACTAGGAAGTTGACTCATAGATATGAAATGAATTATCCGCAGCCAGAGTACTAGCCGCCAAGGCTGGAGCCCAGTCTTGTGACTTGAAGATTTTATTTTCCTGTGGCAAAATGACTTGGAAATCCCTGGGTCTTGTGCCCAGCTTCTTCTTTGCACCTCCTGGTCCCTGCGTGCCACCTGTCGTCTTGATCCCTTGGCTTTTTACCCTCAACTGATGGGAGGGAACAGTTGTTTGTTGATGTTAATCTCAGCTTTGGAATTGCCATGTGACCCCAAATCAAGTCACTTTGTATCTCAATACCACTGTCAGCAGATTAAGTGGGAACTTTATCAGGGTTCTCAGGAAACTGAATTGTGCAAACTGGTGACCTGTTTTGTTATTTATCTTATATTACATTATGTATTATTTGCGTATCTAAATGATTGAGGTATTAAAAAAGAATGTTGAAAGCAAAGGGTAGGGAAAATTCAGTAAGAAATGGTCTTTTGTTGAGTAAGTTGAACGAGGACCCATGATAAAATTAGACTTCAGGCCAGATTGTTCATAATTTTATTAACAGAAGAGGGTACTATTTTTCCTCTGTTCTTTATACAGAATACCTTTTGGTTTTTTACTGTTTTTGGCATATTGAATATGCCACGGATAGCTTGCCAGGCTCTCTGAGATGGATAGAGTCTTTTAGGGCAGATCTAATCGCCCTTGCAGGTGTTCCTGTAGTACAAACCATATTTGAACTCCATCAAATATAGTGCGGTAATCTTCGAAGATGGGTATTAAGTGTCTTATAATGTGTTTGGCACTATTGTGGCAACATGGGAAGATGCTGTCGTTAACAACATTGACGAGAAATACGATCAACTGGTTCAGCACCTCCATGATTGTGCGAGGAATGCCAAGAGAGAGATAGCCACAAAAAAAATGCCTGTCTTTGAAAACTCTTGAGCTTATTCACCAGTGTGGCTTGGCGCATGCCTCAGGCAACCGTAAGTGGATGTCTGAGCTCTCAAAGCAGTCCAGAGAAGCAATAAAGGAAGAACTCAAAGAGAGAAGAGCATCAGTGTTGGCCGATATGGCAGAAGCTGGGAAAAGCATTCACAACACCTGCGTGTCCTTTGCCAACCCTACGACCAAGATGACTGCCCCACCACATCCTGATGGATCTATCACATCTTCCGGAAGGGCAATGGAGAAGATTATCCATGACTTCTGCTCACATCCACCTGCACACATACCAAATTCCACAGGATGGATATGTTGTTCCCAATGTTCTCCCTTCTGAAATCTGACACGCCATTTCATCAGTAAAGAAGCGAACAGCACCTGACCCAGACAAGGTCAGACCCGAACACCTGAAGAACCTGCCATCAGTAATCATCAATACACTGGCTCGACTCTTCACACGCTACCTTTCTGAATGCAAGGTTCCGTCCCAATGGAAAACCAGCAGGACTGTTCTAGTGTACAAGAAGGGAGACATTCACAACATTGGCAACTATCACCCGATCTGCCCTTTGTCTGTCATCTAAAAGCTGTTCACTCGAGTCATCCTGAATAGAATTGGTAGAACACTAGATGAAGGACAACCATGCGAGCAAGCCATGTTCTGAAAAGGATTCAGCACAATCGACCATATCCACATGGTAACCACACTCTTTGAGGTTTCTCGGGAGTTTAAGATGCTGCTCTGTCTAACGTTCATTGATTTAAAAAAGGCCTTTGATTCTGTTGAGACTGAAGTGGTCATCGAAGCCCTAGCCAAACAGGGCATTCAAACTCAATGCATCAGGATCCTCCATGAGCTGTATTGCAGATTCACTACCAGGATCTCACCATTCTACAAAGAAGTGATCGTTGATGTCAAGAGAGGGATTCAGCAGGGTGATACCGTTTCACTGAAACTCTTCAGTGCCACCCTCGAGAACATCATGCGACGACTGGAATGGGAAGGAATGGGAGTGAAGATAGATGGTCGGCAACTACACCACCTCCGCTTCGCTGATGACATCATTCTAATAACACCAAACATTAGCCAAGCTGCACAAATGCTGGCTGACTTTGACTGTGAGTGTGGAAAGGTCGGACTGCAGCTGAATCTCATGAACACAATGTTTATGAGAAACGGTCTCGTTCCTGGCATTCCATTCACTCTCAATGGAACGACCATCTCCGAATGCAACAGTTACGTGTGCCTAGGTCGAGAAGTCAACGTGACGAATGACCTGGCACCTGAGTTGCATGGAGGAAGAGAGTGGATTGGAACGCCTTCTAGAGCATTGAAGAAATAGCTAAGAGGACGAAGAACCTCCGGCTCCGGGCACATCTCTTTGATTCCACTGTTCTTCCTGCATTAACATATGCCTCAGAGACCTGGGTCCTAGGAAAACAGGATGAGAACACTATTCGGGTCTCCCAAAGAGGAAACGAAAGAGCTATGCTTGGAGTATCACGCTTCACTCAAATGAGAGAAAGAATCCTGAGTTCTGACCTCCCTCAATAATCAAGAATCAGGGACGCTGTCTTGTTTGCCAAGGTGTCGAAAATCAGATGGACTGGACACGTAATGCGATTTGGAGATGACCGCTGGACTAGAGCCGTTACCGACTGGATTCCATGGGATGTTAAAAGATCGCTGGCCCCCTACCTAAGAGATAGTCAGACTTCTTCATCAAGACACTGATTGATCGATTTGAGGCTCTTCATGTTCCTGGAGCGAGCAGACGCCATTGGGGTACACTAGCATGTGACAGGGATGAATGGAGACTTTACTGGTGCCCACTCAAGCAACTCGACCAGTAACAGGATGTCAAGTGATCAGGTGACCTATTGGGTCAAATTTGCCTTCATAGGTAGTAATCTAGATTAATTAGTAGGTTTATTTTTCATCCATTTGAACTTGAGAAAGTACTTTCTTTCATTGTTTCATCATCATTATTATTAATAATTTGGGGGGCTATATTCATTAGTTCTCAGTGACTACTCCCTTCTTGGTGCTCAGCAGTTGCTCCTGATATGGACCATACTCAGTACCAGGAATTGAACCTGGATTTGAATCCCTTATGAAATGCATGCATTGGCTATCACTCTGGTCTCATCTTAGGAAACTTTTTTCCCATGATGGTTATATTTAAACATTTTTTTCATTAAGACACACTATGATTTAAAAACATGTTCATAATAGAGCTGAGTTTGGCCTCAGAGTAACAGCAATAACATTACTGTCACTGTCACTGTCACTGTCCTCCCGTTGTTCATCGATTTTGCTCAACTGGGCCCAGTAATGTCTCCATTTTTTTGAGACTTGTTACTGTGTTTGGCATATTGAATACGGCACAGGGAGCTTGCCAGGTTTTGCCCTGTGGGAGAGATACTCTCGGTAGCTTGCCGGGCTCTCCGAGAGAGGTGGTGGAATCAAACTTGGGTCAGCCGTGTCAGCCGCATGCAAGGCAAATGCCCTACCTGCTCTAGTTAATAATAATAATAATAATAATAATAATAATAACAAAGAATCAATAATAATAACAAAGAACTCAGACATGTAAAGGGTAACAGAATTTTCAGTGCTTTATGGATAATACAAAATTTCAGTATTTGTATTTGTATTTTTATCCAAGAGGATAATACATAATGTAAAGGATATAGAATAGAATGTTCAGTGCTATGAGGAGAATACAAAGTTTAGTTCCTTGGGTTAGTCTACTAATTTTTTTCAGTCGCACCTATTTTGAAACTTTGTTTTTTTACTTGTAGAGTACAAAAATATACTTAGCTTACAAGGAAGAGTTGTTTTTATAAAGTTCTTGGTACATAATAAGTTCTTAAATTTGTGTTAAGATCTATCTTTCTTTCTTTCTTTCTTTCTTTCTTTCTTTCTTTCTTTCTTTCTTTCTTTCTTTCTTTCTTTCGTCACAGCCGGCAATGCACATTGGTTACTCCTGGTTCATGCAGTCAGGAATTACTCCTGGCGGTGCTCGGGGGACCCTATGGGATGCTGGGAATCGAACCCGAGTCGGCCGCGTGCAAGGCAAATGCCCTGCCCGCTGTGCTACCGCTCCAGCCCCAAGATTCCTTTCTTACTGGTCAACTTACTGCTCAGTTTCCTTTCTAATGGTCTTCCACTTTTCTGTTCTTTAGATATCTGACATCCATGTTACTGGAGAGTCGGAGGATATGTCTGCGAAAGAGAGATTGCTCCTGTGGACGCAGCAGGCCACCGAAGGGTATGCTGGAATTCGGTGTGAAAATTTCACTACTTGCTGGAGAGATGGAAAACTGTTCAATGCCATCATTCACAGATACAGGTATGGAATTTGCAAGCTTTCCCCCCTTTAGACATATACGAGGTATCTTGCTGTCATTTTCAAATACTCGATCTTTTATTCATTTGGAATTCACCTGAAGGCACGGTAGAAAATTTTTAAAATGTGGGCAAGTGAAAATAACGTATTCCCACCACTCAGAGACCCTCACTCTTAACTTTAATGCACTCACACAGACGTAGAAATACAATATGTGTTCGTATTTTGCCAGTAGCCCAGAAAATAGTAATCTCTGATACGTGAAATCTACATGCAGCTTAACCTGAGTTGTGCATTTGGACAACAAATGAGTAGCAACACAAGGGCTTCTTTCCGATTAAGAACTCACAAGTTTCCAAATTATAGGCCCCCCTGGTCTAGTTAGTCTAGTGAGGATCTGACCTTTACAGAGACTTTCACGTGATGATACAATTTTCCTGGTTAGAATTACTACAAATTGTTTGCATTGCACTTAAATGCTAGCTAATGCCCTTATTAATTTACATGTATTCTCCCAATTCTCACAGTACCTCTAAAGGGAGATTGGCATCTTCAGTTAAGAGGTTTGGAAACTGGGACTGGAACGATAGTACAGCGGGTAGGGTGTTTGCCTTGCACGGGGCCGACCCGAGTTCGATTCCCAGCATCCCATAGAATAGAATAGAATGTTCAGTGCTATGAGGATAATACAAAGTTTAGTTTCTTGGGTTAGTCTACTAATTTTTTTCAGTCTAACCTATTTTGAAACTTTGTTTTCTTACCTGTAGAGTACAAAAATATACTTAGCTTGTAAGGAAGAGTTGTGTTTATAAAGCAACCACCAGCAATAATTCCTGAGTGCATAAGGTTCGGAAACTGAGACACAGAGTCAGTAAATGATATACTTTGCAGTCAAACCCCGCATGGAGAGCCCTTCTACTCTTCTTTCTGATATGTGAAATCTACATGTAGCTTAACCTGAGTTGTGCATTTGGACAACAAATGAATAGCAACACAAGGGCTTATTTCCGAGCTAGAGTTCTAGAAAATATTTATTGGCAAGTGTATTCTTTTAAGTCTCAGTTATTCTCCTAGTGTTACAAAGATTTTTATCATGGTTATGAAGAACTGAAAGGATTCCTACATAGTCAGTACTGAAACTGTATACTCATCAAGCGGAGAAATTTGTAAAGTTAAAATGAAAATAATGATTACTTGGCTAGTTTATATTTTGAATGCTTGCTGTATGTGAGGGACTTGTTTAAGTTTTATACCTGTTGCTGTGGTCAGATCTCGCAGCAAGTCTCCCAAAGCAGGAACAATGGCCCAAGTTTTGTTGATGAGGACCTAAGATTCACCAGGGTCCTTCGGAAATAACCTGCAGAGCTTTGATTCCAACCCACATCTGTTTGACGTGAAATTCTATCCCCCACCTTCTTTTTTCCTTTCCACCTCTTCTTTTCATTCCCTTTCTTTTGCCTTCTCATTTCATTTTTTTTTTATTTTGGAAACTTTAGCCCTAAACAATTTTAAGTTCTTAAAATGCCCCTTTAAACACGACAACAGTCTTTTTCCTTTATTGAACAGCCTTTCAGTAAAGACAAGGGTTAGATTACTGAATTAAAAAGAAAAAACCAGGATGTGTTTACCTATGCTTGTCCAAAAGAAAGTACCAGGGCTCCCTAAGTGTTGGTGCCAGAATGGCTTAGTGGTTACAGACATTGTGATTATCACACCACACTTCCATGTGATTTAAAATACCAGGCCTTTAGAAGGCAGGGGAGCTGGTCACGTTCTGTGGTGGGGATGATAAGATCTGTGTCTTTGAATAAGCATATTTGGATTATATACGTATGTCTCGAAGCATCATGAAGGATTTGCTCTTTGGAATTTTTTAGGTAGAAGAAAAACATTTAGAAGCTAACTAATCTAATAAATAACTAGATTTAGAAATGATTTCTAGGCATTGTCTTCTCAATAGTTACAGAGTATAAATTGACATGTGTGTGTGTTCGTGCCATGCATTTTTTTCTCAGTACTTTTGTAAGGGCCAGTATGCATCAAACATCTTAAAATTTCTACGAAAAGTTTACTATCACAGAATAGATATTGCCTTAGGAGACAATCTGAATCATGTGAGTGTGACTTTTAATATTAAAGAGTAATACTTTTTATTTATTTTTATATCCCAGATTTATTTTATTTATTTGTTTATTTTTCTGACTATCTTTTTTTTTAATTTTAATTTTATTGAATCACTGTGAGATAGTTACAAGCTTTCATGTTTGGGTTATAGTCACACAATGGTCAAACACCCATCCCTCCACCAGTGCCCATTCCCCTCCACCAATATCCCCAGTATAACCCCCTTTTCCCACCCTCCCCCCGCCTCCATGGCAGGGAATATTCCCCATACTCTCTCTCTACTTTTGGACATTATGGTTTGCAATACAGACCCTGAGAGGTTATCATGCTTGGTCCTTTATCTACTTTCTGCACACATCTCCCATCCCGACCGATTCCTCCAGCCCTCTTTTTCTTAACGATCCCTTCTCTATTCCAGCTGCCTTCTCCCCTTTGCTCATGAGGCAGGCTCCCAGCTATGGAGCAATCTGTCTGTCCCATGTATCTACTGTCCTTAGGTGTCAGCCTCATGTTACGTTGTTTTACACTCCACAAATGAGTGCAGTCCTTCTCTGTCTGTCCCTCTCTGACTCATTTCACTTAGCATGATACTCTTCATGTCTAAGGAGTGATAATTTTTAAAAGCTTTTTAACCTCAACATTGAACTATGTAATTTGTTGATTTCTTTTTTTAGAACTCATTTACTGTATGTCAGGATTAAATGCATACAAGAATTTTTTGTTGTGGAAGTTTTGTTCAGTTATCTGGTACCTAATAAATTACTACTGTGATTTGTTTTTAACTGAAATTCACAGACTTTTTTTCCCTTTTAAATGAAAAAAACAGATGACTACATTTCTTACATGATCTATAGCAATTAAATGGATGAGATTGAATGACATGTTTTCTACTATTCAATGCTTTGATTTATTTTAAAAGCAGAAGAAACAAAAGAACCACATTGGCAGATTCTTGGACACTGCACACGAATAATCACACTTAGAGAAAAATATCTTACTTAGCAGTTGTTTTATTGATGATTATAACTATGAATTTTGTGATATGGGATATGTTTGGGCTAGAGCGATAGCACAGCGGTAGGGCGTTTGCCTTGCGCATAGCCAGCCTGGCCGAGTGGGTTCGATTCCTCTGCCCCTCTCGGAGACCCCCGCAAGCTACCAAGAGTATCTCGCCCGCAGGGCAAAGCCTGGCAAGTTACTCGCCACGTATTCAATATGCCAAACACAATAATGACAAGTCTCAAAAAAATGGAGACGTTACTGGGCCTGCTTGAGCAAATCGATGAACAACGGGATGACAGTGTTTGTTTTTTGTTTGGGATATGTTTGCCTTTCATTGTAAGAATGAAGACATTTATTTGGACCTTTTGATAACTAGTTTTATAATTTATATGAATTTTATTTGACTCAAAGGTTAAAAAAATGCTAAGGTAGTATGATGATTTGGTCTCTCTCCAACTATTATAGTCTAACCATGTGGAATACTTGTTTGAAAGATACTTTTTGTTTGGACGAGTTTGGAATACTTGTTTGGGGGATCGTAAGAGAGAATGAAGGTTTAGCAGAAAGAAACTTGTGATTACTGTGATAAATGGGAAGAGGGATAGCTTGTCTCTTATGTGGCAAATCTCTATGTCCAAGTAGAATCACAAAGATTTCTCTGAATTAGAAAATAGTATCACTCATTTCAAACTAAATCCGCATTGGGCTGGAAGGGTTAAGCCACTCCCTTATATGCGACTGACCCCACTTCATGGATTCCTGGCACTTCACAGTTCCCTGCATACTACTGGGATAACCTCTAAGCACAGATCTGGGGTAGCTTGGGAGAAATCCTGGGTGTGGGACCAGCTTCATCATGCGTAGATGAATAAACAAATTTGTGTGCCAGTGTGCTCAGTGAAATAAGTCAAAGACAAATACTGGATGATTTCACTCGTGTGATAGGAAAAGGACCAAACTCAAATGACAGATAGTTTCTCCTCAGAGGCAAATGACGTCAAGCAGAGGACCTTCGGTTGTGTATACCTGTCCTCTGTGTCTGGCCCTAGCAGCAAAGCCCTCACAAGACTGCTGCTTCTTGGCCGGCAGTGCCCAACAAGGTTGGCACTACCTGGCATAAGAGGCACTGCCTCGAACTGTATAATATAGGCTGGCAGAGCGGCACCTGGCCCTGATAGGCACAGACTGGCACCAGCTGGCATAGGCTGGCAACTGGCTAATTCCTCTTATGTCTGTTATGATTAGTTTTCAATGAAAAGGATTCTAATGAAAAAAAAAACACTATGCACACATGTACATATGCTAGTTCCTGCTTGTTTTGTTCGCATAAAAGTATTTTTAAATCTTTTAACTAAAGTCCACAGCTGGTAAGAAATCTTAGTCTAAATAAACCTTACTGTTGCCCCCTAAACTGGGTTTCACTTAGAAGAATAGCAAGTAGGACTGGGTTTGGTGGATTTAAATGAAAAGGCTGTCACAGAATGATCTCTCTTATAGGCCATCACATGCCCACCTAGGAGAAATTATCCTGTGGCATCTTTTTGATCTTTTTCTCCTATCAAGAAACATAACATGGAAAGAATAAGTGGCTAAGGACCATAGAACCTGAAGACTGATTTACAGAACTGGGCTTACTGTGGATGGGGGCGTGGAGGGTGCTGGGTGGTTAGTAGGGGATCCAGGGATAGTGATAGAGGGAAGTGCACATTCTTGTGGAGGGTGTGATATTAATATTGTATGCATGAAACCCTACCATTAACAGTATTTTCAGTCATGATGCTTCGAAAACAAAACAAACAACAATAGCAACAACAACAAAAACAGATGCCACGGCAAAAGCTTGATGAATAAGTAGTTCAGAGTGCTCACACATCGCA